TGTGACACTAGAGGGCATGAGCAAGACAACAAATTCCCTTGTCTGCCACCACTGAGAAGCTCAAGTGTAATAAAGGCCAACGAGCTTTTCTCAGTCTATCAGTAAAAGAGAAGAAAAGCAGACATGAGAGGTGTCCCCGGGTGGCAGGATGAGTGCCAGGGTGCCAAGTCTCAGCAAGGCCAACTGAGGAACAATTTTCTGAAGGCAATTCCAAAAGCTAATCCACCCCCAGCAAGAACAGGACATTTGTTTGCTTCACTGCTCTAACCTCACCAAGACTTTTTCACTTTCTCATGACGTGTTTTGCTAAGTCTGCATGGCAGGAAATGTGTTCCCATGTGAGGCAAACACAGGCTGAGGACACACAGTGCCCTCCCTTCAGGTATTGCTGAAATCTACACAACAACTTTCAAGCTGCCCATCAACCCAACACAGATCAGGATGGTCCTGTGAGTTAAAATATGCATTTATCCCATCACCCAGCTCAGTCTGGGTACCAGGTATGGCAACAGGGCTGTCTCCAGTGGTAGGCAGCATAGCAGGGTAGGGGAGGAAGAGTCAGGAAACCCACACTCTGTTCATAGCAAGTGCTTTCTTGTTGTTGTTTGCTCCATCTCAATTCCCTGATGACTCGGGGAGAGCTCCAGCACGTTCATCTGCCCTCTCACTGGGGATTCCATAACTGGAGCAAATGTTGGCAAAATCCTGCAGGCCATGTCACACACACATGCTCTGACACACAGTCCAGCAGCTGCAGATCTGCCTGCAGAGCAGGATCACAGAAACACAGAATGGTTTGGGTTGGAAGGGACCTTAGAGGTCATCTAGTACAATCCCTTGCCATGGGCAGGGACACCTTCCACTATCCCAGGCTGCTCCAAGTCCTGCCCAGTCTGGCCTTGGACACTTCCAGGGATCCAGGGGCAGCCACAGCTACTCTGAGCATCCTGTGCCTCACCATCCTCACAGGGAAAAATTTCCTCCTAATATCCCATCTAACCCTGCCTTGTGTCAGTTTGAACCTGGGCAGAGGTGTGTGGAAGAACCCTGATTCGCTTCTCTTCAGCTCTAGGACAAACTGCAGATTTTTCTTTTTCAGGACAAGAAATTTGTACAGGTGAGTATTTCTCCTCCTTTGCTCTGCTTGCTCTCCTCCTTCTCCTTCTCCTTCTCCTTCTCCTTCTCCTTCTCCTTCTCCTTCTCCTTCTCCTTCTCCTTCTCCCTCTCCTGGTAGACAAACAGCACCAGTTTTCTGGCAGACATTCCCAAGGGAAGGGTGTAGCAGTCCTGAGCACCCGGCACCTTTCCCATTTGTGCAGGAGCGGAAGGGTGGCTCCAGACTGGCAAGAGTTTTGCTAGTCCAAGGACCTCTCTGCTCCCTCAGGGGAACCCAGGCAGTGCAGGGACACTGAAACACCAAAGAGTGCAACATCCCTCCAGGATGAACACAGTGCCAACGCTTGGGATCCCTGCCCTGCAGGATATTCCCTGGCAAGGTCTCTGACTGTATCTATCCCTCACTGACCTGTAACTCTATGGTCCAAATGAGACCAGTGTATCTGCAATCCTCCTCCTCAGCACAATTCCCTTCCAAGAGGGTGGAAAACACAGGGCTAAGCTGTGCTTCCATTTAACAAATCCTGTCATGCCATCACACCGTGCTCGGGTGGAGCCAGTTACAGGGGTAGGGAAGGAGCTGGAGCCCCCACGCAAGAAGCTGCTGGCAGCTTTGAAAACAAGCTGCTTCCCTCTGTCCTCTCAGAGTTTCCAAGCCATGTCTCCCTCACAAAGGCATTGTGCAACCCCAACATTTTGCAACTGCTGCCTGACCTGGCCACAGAGCCAGGACTCCGGGTTTCACCCCGTCCCCCACTCCGGAGCAGCTCCAGCCTCCTCCGAGCCCATGCCAAGGCTGCCTGCACTCCCAGCACGCTAAAGCTTGGTTTAAAGCTGCATCTCAAGCTTTGTAGGAATTGCTGATGCAGTGGATGGGAAGGAGCACATGAACATCACAGAATCCCAGGATGGTTTGGGTTTGGAAGGGACCTTAAATTCCATCTGGTTCCACTCCCCTGCCATGGGCCTGACACTTTCCATTAGCCCAGACTGAAGACTCATCCAGCCTGGCCTTGAACACTTCCAAGGATGAGACAGCCACAGCTTCTCTGGGCCAGCTTCCATTGTTTGGGGTGAGTCCATTCCTCTAATCACTCCAGACGCAAATTCATCACTTAGGACACTGCTCCCACTCCTGGAGCACCATTAATGTGGTAAATCCAGAGTGACTCCTTCAGAACATTCCAGACTTGCCTCCTGCAACATCTCCTCCAGTCTTGGCTAACCCCTGTCAGTGCAGTTATGGGAGAGCTGGACATGAACCAATCCTGAAGCAAATCTCAAAACTGGAGTCAAAGTCAAGGACAGCACAAAGCAAAACATCACATGAGCTTCAGCCACCCATATTTAAGCCCTGTGCCATGACAGCATTAAACCTCATTGTGCCACAGCAGCAGAGAATGTAGCCCAGGTAAGATCACCACATCACTGTTCTGGGAAAGACTTTGCCCCATCCTGGTGTCGGGAAAGACTTTGCCCCATTCTGGCAGTGCCTTTGCAGGGATGGGTCAGGGAAGGTTGTGCCCTTCCCTGGGTGTTGCTGGATTAAAGCCTCTGCACAGATAAACACCTCTGAGTAAGAGGGAGAACTTAAAACTAATAACAACACTAAAACCTAAACAAACACTAAGGAGTTGAGGACTTTGCTTTGGAATAAAAGATTAATAAACATATTGATTGAGTCAAGGGGCTGGGACAAAGGCTGACAGCGTGTTTATTTTTTAGCATCTATCTGTGGACTCACCAGGCTTTTGCCCAAGCCAAATATTGTGTTAAGGAAGTTTATGAACTGACACATGAAGTGTGGTTGGGTCACCTCCAGCTCAGCCCACGGTTGTCTGAGCATGGTGCCACCAAAATATGTCTGCAGGAGTTAGAGCAGCTTAACACGTGGGCCTGAACTATCACTAGCAGAGGATGATGCAGCCAAGCAAGTGGCAGAGATTGAAGGAAGAATTCAGACAAAGGACTGGGTAAAGTGTAGGGCTGTGGGCAGACCCACAGGTGTTCCTGTCCCAGCTGCTGCTGAACACATCAAATTCTGGGAGAATTTAGGAAAAACCACAGCACTGCAGCAGCTCAGGCACTGCTGAGTAGTTCAGCTGTTGCCTCAGTTTTGGCATCTTGTCCCCCCACTTGGGGACCACAGTGGGCAAGGGGTGGGTCAATGCTGCTGCTGAGAGCTAAGTCTGAGCACAGAAAGGCTCAAAAAACCACCAAGGGTGGTTCTTTGTGGAAAGAGTCCTTCAAGACCAAACACGTCTTGCCAAGTTCCAGTCACTGTCAGTGATTAACCTGCTGCACCCAGCACACCTCCCTGCTTCCAAACCCTGACATGAGGAACCAGAGCCCTTCTGCAGCCTCTCTTCCCACTCCTTCCATGGTGTGCAAAGCCTCTGAACCACCAGGCATGCAAAAACCACGTGGAAAACCCCCCAAAAATAATCCTTGGAGAAGTTTAACAGACCAACCGCAAGTAAATTCAGGGGTTTTTCTCACCCTGCCTTCTTGTTAGACCTTTCCCATGCAGCTCTGGAACAGCTTCACAGCACAGGGTCTGTCTCTCAGAGAAGCTGAACATCACACAATCTCACAGCAGCAGGAGCTGGGGGCTTCACAGACAGGGGATTGGATGGGAATGATGGTTTAGAGTCTGTGGAGAAGCTGAGACCCTTCTGCTAAATCCCCACATGCCTGCAAGGGTGGACACAGGAGAGGAAGGACCAAGGTGCTACAGCAATAAACCCAGAGCTGTGTTTCGTTTCACTGCTGACTTGAAACATCACTTTAAAAAAAAGCAATTCTTACAGGAGAGAGAAAAGCCCAGAAGTCTTAAGTGACCATTTTAAAGCTTTTAGCTATTTAATTGTGGCTTTCCACACTCTGATAAAGAAACCAGGGCTGCTGCCACAAGAAGCCTCTCCTCCCCAAAGTGCTCTCTGCATCCCTGATTTCTAGGAGATGCTGAAAAAGCATCTTGGAGAGACTTCTGAATATCCCAGAGTGAAGGAGGACAGGCAGCCCTGCAGGTGACATGGTGGCAGTCACCCAAAGGTGTGACAGAGCGAGTGGGTGGGCAGGGGAGCTTCTGAATCCCACTGAGAAGATGCTTTGTTCCTGTTCTCCCAAAGAAGGCTCACAGGTATCAATGGCTGCTTTGAACACCAGTTGTAGCTGCACTACAGCTTCACACAAAGACATTAGACAGATCTCCACGTGTCCAAGCCTTGGGCTGGGCTCTGCACCATCCATCAAAGCCTGGCAAGGTCTCCATGGGGGAAGAACCACCCAGCTCTCCTGGAAAACACTGAGGACTGTCCATCTAAACTCCTCAATCACCACCAGCTTCCCACCTCTGCACTGCAAATACAAATGAACATTTCAGATAGCCTGAAGCTGATGGATTCCAGCTCTGCTTCCAAAACTTATGCCTGCATTAAGGGTCCCAATCCCATTTCTTCTCAGGGAGTCCTCAGCACACTTTTGGATTTGCCTCAAGGCCCCCAGCTCACTTTTGGACATGAAGCATCAGCTTCCTGCTTGTTATAGGCACTCTTGAAACATGAAATGTAAATCTACACAAAGCTACATGAAATACATGGGGTTCCCTTCAGAAACATTTTTGGTCTTTTTCTCACTCTTTGCTGTTTTTCCCTCTCTCCAGCTCCCAGGTCTTTAAAACCCCACAGCATCAGAGGAAAAAAAACCCCAACAAGGCAAGCAGGAAATTAAAAAAGCAGGTGAGGAAAGGAAAAAGGAGGAAAAAAAAAAAATAACAAAGGAGCTTCCTATGGCCCAGATGAGTTCATCCCCTCTGCTAACCACGCCAACACAGCTGGGATGGGGTGGGGGGACTGTCCCCAGAGCCTCCCGTGGGTACTCACTGGTGCTTGTGCTAGTGCCGATGGTGTTGATGGTGGTGGGGACAGAGGAGGAGGAGTAGAGGGGCAGGTGGCCATTCTCACAGGCCAGGCTTTTGTCCTGCCAGCTGGAGGCGCTGACGCTGATGCCGGAGTCCCGGGAGGAGTTCTGCCACCCGTTGAGTTTGTCATCCGAGTTCTGTCTTTGGTGATAGTAGTGAGCCTGCTGCCCGTAGTCCAGCGAGTCGGAGCGGCCGCGGCCCTGGCCACCGAAGCCGCCCGACGTGCGGTCCTCCAGGTGGTTGAGCCACATGGCCAGGGCGCTCCTGTCCTCCAGGGAGGTGGCAGGGTGGATCAAGGCGTAGGACAGCAGCTGCCTGCTCTCCTCGATGTGCTGGTTGTGCTCGATGGAGTGCGCCAGGATTTTGGGCAAGAGTTTCATGTACTCGACTTTCGCCTCGATGTTGCCGGGCTTCAGTAAAGGCAGGTGGGTTAGCAAGAGGGAGATCACTTTATCCTTGGATTCCTGTTGCCACTGGTTAATGATTCCTGTTGGAGGGATGGGGGGTGGGGGAAGGGGAAACAAGAAGATTAATGAGAAATTGGAAAACAGAGATAATAAAGAAATAACCAGGTCATGGCAGGGTAAATACAGCACGCCAAAGGGATTTATTTCCACATGTGTGGTACCACAGCGTGAGCATCTCCCTTGCAAGCTCCCTCCAAAACCATTGGCACAGCAAAGTGTGCCAAACTGGATACCAGAAGTTACCAAATGCTCCTGAAAATCTCTAAAAAAGCCGAACTACACCCAGCTCTACTCCACTGCTGTTGTGTTTATTTTAATCAAAATCACGATTTGGCCCAAATTTTCTGCATTGTTGCAGATTACAAAAGGACTCGGTGGACAAAGCTAACCTTTGAAAAGAACTTGGTTGGAAAATTGAAAAGGTCAAGATTCAAAGGAGGTAACACAGGTGAGAGCCACAGAGGGAAGAAGCTTTCCAGCAGGAACACGCTCATCCAACCAGGGTATTGGTGCATCCACCAGCCCCAAAGGTAAGGAGGGAAAGGCTCAGCTGAAGCAGCCCCAGAGCTCCTGCTCCTCTGTTAGATCACAGCAAACAGGAGAGGTTTCAGAAGACCAGGAAAAAAAAAAGGAAACCTAGGGGTTAGATTTAAATATGCAGAAGGAAAAGTCAGGGAATTACAAACTGGTCACTTAACTCAAACTCCTGGAAAACTGATGGAACAAATAAGGAAACAACCTATTTGTAAGCACTTAGAAGATAACAAGATGATAAGTGACTGCCGACACCCATTTGTCAAGAGCAATTTGATTTCCTTCTGTGACAGAGCACCTGGCCTGTGAATAGCTGGAGGAACAGGCAGTGCTGTAGATCTTGATATTCATTAGGTGCTGCTGCACATGGCTCCCTCAGCAGCACAGCAGAGAGAAACTGCTCTAATGGGGGCACACAACTCATCTGAAAAACATATGGAGGGAGCTGGTGGTGCTGATTCATTGTCACAATGGGAGGATGTGCTGGGCAAGGAGACCTGTGCTGGCCCTGACACCACCCAGCCTGTCACTGGTGATAAGGGTGATGTGATAAACGTGATCAGCACGCAGGTATTGTGCTAAGAGAAAGGAAAACACTCCAGGAAACTGGACTAGAGGTCAAACCATGTTGAGGACTCGAAGGGGTGGCATGGAGCTGTGTCAGGGGAGGTTTAGGCTGGAGATCAGGAAAAGGTTCTTCCCCCAAAGGGTGGTGGGCACTGACCAGGCTCCCCAGGGATTGGGCACAGCACCAGCCTGCCAGAGTTCCAAGAGAATTTGGATGCTCTCAGGCACAGGGTGGGATTATTGGAGTGCCCTGTGCAGGGCCAGGAGTTGGACTGAATGATCCTTGTGGGTCCCCTTCCAGCTCAGGATATTCTGTGATCCCATGAGACTTGGAGAGATGTGAAAGAACATCTGCATTAAGCAGGTGCAAACATCTGCATTAAGCAGGTGGGAACAAATGAGGTGGGAAGAGCCTGGCTTGGGAAGCACCATGTCAGTCAGATACTGTGCTGCACAGAGAAGCTGCAGCAGCCAGCCTGACACCTGGCTGAGAGGTGAACACTGGCTGCTCTCCACATCTGCTGCTGCCCAGGGAAATGGTGGAGTCCCCATCCCTGGAGGGGTTTACAGCCATGAGGATGTGGCCCTTGGGGACATGGCTCAGTGGTGGCCTCAGCAGTGCTGGGGGAATGGTTGAACTCAATGATCTTGGAGAGCTTTCCCAACCTAAACAATTCTACGAATCTGTGACTTGAACTGCAGCAAAGATGAATGAGGTTGGAAATGATGAAAGTGCCTTCTGTAGGGCAGGATGGCCTAGGACATTGGGAGATCTCCATCACCAGAGGTTTCTCTGAAGAGCTGATACAAACTCCCAAAATCTACCAAATCTACCCAGACCAGCCAACTGACACTGCCCAGCCCCGGGGCAGTCTCTCCTCCAGCACTGGCCAAACCCCTCTGTAAAGCCTTCAAACTTTCAGCCCCTGTGCTACAGGAGCCACAGCTGAACCTGGGCTGGAGAGCACTCCCTCCTGTGCCTGCTTTCAACACACTGCCCAAAACTTCATCAGGTGAAATGCTGAAAAAATCCCCCCAAACTTTACGTTCTCTGTCCCTGTCTGCTGTCTTCAATCCATTCTGCACAGGAAGCTGCTCCAAATCACTGATTATCCCCACAGCCCCTGTGTGTTTCTGAGCTAGGGTAACTGAACCCACACCACTGAAATGCAGATCCAGATCTCCAGCTGTAGGATCATTCATCAGGTTTGCTCTTGGGAAGGCACAAGAGCGAATCAATATCCAGCTCAGGATATTTTGTCACCCAGGAACTGGACTCTACAATCCTCACGGGTCCCCTCCACCTCAGGATATTCCATGATTTCATATGACCCATGCTGCTGGCCAGCAGCCCTCCCACCACCCCTGACCCAGAAGAGAGCTGTTAAAGCAGCACCTTCTCCCAGTTAGGACCAAACTCTGGACATCAGTTTCCTGACAGCACTCGCCCCTCCAGATTCACCTTCCCAGCTCCAAGGCATGCAACTGCTTTAATAGGAAGCCACTAGATGGCTTGCTGGAAACGCTGGCTACTCTCCCTGGAACTTTCTGCACTGGTATTTACTCCTCCACAGACCTCCCCCTCCTCCAGAGCCACTTCCTGAGCCAGCCACAGCGTGCCCTGTGCTGAAAGGAGCAAGGGGCACGACGTGGCACAGCTTTGGTGGAGAAGGAACAGCTGTATGGCAGCAGAGGGGACTTTGGGTAGTCTGGGTGTGCCCCTCTGCCCGTGGGAATGCTGTGAGGTTGTTTTGGTGCTAAAAAGATGGGATTTGGGAGAGCAACACTCAGCATGATGCTGTAAAGAGTACACAAGCATAGCAGGACTCAAGGCCCATCAGAGCATATCCATATTTTCCAAATGCAGGTGTCCCTGCTCCAGGCAAGGCTTCCTGTTGGGATGAATCTGATTTATCTGTCCCCTCTCTCTTAGTCAGCTGCCTGGTGAATTGAAAACATGTCTTATTTTCTCCCATCCTCCTGCAGAGAGGGAAGTCACACCCCGATATTTTATCATCACTCTCGTGGTGGTTCAGCAGCACTTCCAGGCTGGCACAGCCAAAACCCAGCCTGGCACCAGCTGGGATTCTGTAGCAGCTCAGATAAACTGAGAAATCAAAGATCATTTAAAAAAAAAAAAAAAAAAGGTCTGCAATGCACTGCTCAAAGAAGTGGATGCCACTTAAACACAGGAGCAAAATAAACGCAGAAAAAGCAGAGCCTGGGTGCAGGAGAGGAGGAGGAGGAGGAAGAGGAGGAAGAGGAGGAGGAAGGCAGGTGGCCATGGCTGGACTCCTCCTCCTCCTCCTCACATGGGGGAGAGCTCAGCATGAAGGTCCCCACTGGAGAAACACAGGATGGCGCCAGAGCTGCTTCTTGGGAGCTTTGCCTTGGACCTCCAAGAGATTTGGGGGTTTAAAGAACAACCCCAACAGCTGGAGCACTGACCCAAAAGCCTGTGGCCGATGAAGGGCTGGGTGCCCTTCCCTGCCCTGGCCCAGGCAGGAGCTGGTCTCCTTCTCAGCCAGCAGCAGGATGTGCACAATTAAACAAAAATGGAAAATAATTAGATCTGAAAGAGGTTTGGCTCTCTCTGAGATGGGGCAGAAGGTCAGGCTTAATCCTGTCTGCCAGAAAACAGAGGGATCTGGAGAGGGCAGTGCAGGAGAGGGGAAGCTGGAGCTGCCTGTGGGCAGGGGGAGAGGGGCTGGCAATGTCCCAAAGCCCCTCTGCACCCTCTCCCTGAACACAGGAGCCCCCAGCTCAGCCCCTCACCTGCTGCCATGCACTCCTGGCCATCTGGGATATCTCATCCTTTATGGTCAGAACAAGCACTCTGGGGCAGCTGAGATTAGGATGTGTTTTGGGATCCCACATCCCGGGGTCCTGACATGATACCTGTGGTGGGTCACAGGCACCAATCACCTGACAGCCTCATCTGTTCCGCCTGGTGCTTCCCATCACGAGGATTTCACTGCTCTGTGGAATGTCACAGCTACTGCCAAATCTGAGCACAGAGAGAGCCCCAAAGTTAGAATCCCCTCCTTGCTGCCTTGAAACCCCCTAAAATCCCTGTCCTGCCACTGAACTGCCATCTCCTTTTGGAGATGAGGTCAGATAACAGCTGACCAGCCCTGAACAGGGATGGGAGCTGCTGGTAACCCCCAAGCAGAAAAATCCCATTTTTTATTATGGAATATTTTCTTGGATGAGAAGCTGAATGAAGGTGGGATGTGAAACTACCTTCTACTGAAGGATTACTTAACTGACAGGATTTTGCTGCTAGACAGCCCAGCTGATGCATGTGCAGCATGCCTGTGGATAAATCCAGCTCCAAATATAGCCAGGTCCTGCTTCCAAGACTGGAACCTGTGCTTGTGCTATGAATAGGACCAACACCATCCCCAAAACCGGGGCTTTCTGGCTGGAAAAAAGAGGTGAAGTTTGTCAATTTATTAAGTTATTAAGGGATTTCTCTGTCACAAATCTGCTTAATCACTGCTGGATCTCTGCAATCTGTTAATTGCCACCATGTGCAGTGGTGATGGATCCACCTCTAACGTGTCCACACACAAGGGACCTTCCTGTCTTTTCTCTGAACCTGCCTCCTGAGGGATGAAGGGGTTATTTCACCCACCAGCAAGGCTCATGGTTATGATGTCCTGGGAACAGTCACAGTTTTCCAAATGTAAAGGCAGACCAGATGGACAAAGGCAGGGATAGACACAGACCCTGCAAAAAACAGCATGAGCAGCAGCACACTGGTGCCTGCATTTACAAAACCTGAAGGACCAAACTGCAGGGGTTTTAATTCTAGTTTTGATTTTTGCAAACGGATTTCTAGGCTAGAAGATTCCAGTTTAAAAACCCCACCCCTGCTGAGAGGGATGGCCAAGAGCAGCTGTCAGCACAGGAAAAG